CTATTGGTACTATCTTTGCTTTCTTTTGCCACAGTTGTTCTATTTCTATTTGCAGGTCTTTCTATCTTGTGATTCTCTCCAGTTCTTTCTCTTCTGTTCTGTTCTCTCCAGGTATTGCAATGTCCACTATCCAGACTTTTTGTCTTTCTTATCAATTGTTAAGTCTGGGGTGTTGTGTGGCAGGTGCTTGTCTGTTTGAATTCTAAAGTCCCATTTTTGTCTTTCTTATCAATTGTTAAGTCTGGGGTGTTGTGTGGCAGGTGCTTGTCTGTTTGAATTCTAAAGTCCCAGAGAACTTTAGCTTCTTCATTTTCCATTACCTTGTCTGTTTTGTGGTCCCACCAGTTCTTGTTTTCAGGCAAATGGTATTTCTTGCAGACATTCCAATGCACCATTGCTGCTACTTTGTCATGCTGTTGTTTGTAGTCAGTCTGTGCAATCTTCTTGCAGCAGCTAACTCGGTGGCCCACTGTTTCTTCAACTTCTTTGCAGAGGTGGCATCTTCTCAATTCTGGCTTTGAATGCATTTGTTCTTAAGGCTTGGACTTGTGCAGTCAGAATTAGCCCCCGTCTCTTTCTTCAACTTTCCTGCTCTCAGCCATTGCCAAGTGTTGTTGTTATTTGCTTTGCCTGCTAGTGTGTGTGTGTGTGTGTACTGCCCATGTAATACTTTGCCTTGCCATGTCTCCTTTCTATTCTTCGTTTGGTCTTTCTTGTAGGCCAGTTTGGTCTCTTCAGTATTCAGTAAGCCTTCAGTGGATCTTCTTCACTGTCCTTCAGTTATTCTTCCAATGCCTTTTTTCCTTCTTCAATTGTCTGGTGTACTTGCAACATGCCACACCCACCTATGCTCCTTGGCAAGTGGAGTCTGTCAACATCACTGCTTGGATAAATGGCATGATTCGTTGTCATTATTTTTCTGGTCTTCCTGTCCAGGGCTTCTAGTTCAGCTAGAGTCTAGTCCACTATTCCAGCGGTGTATCTAATGCAGTGTTGTCCAAACTTGGCCACTTAAAGATGAGTGGACTTCAACTCCCAGAATTCCCCAGCCTGCCATGC